TCTCCCTTTCCTCCTGGGCGCCTCTGAGGCGCCGACACACTGCAGCTCCATCTTCACTGGCCCGCAGCAACCTTCTGTCTGTCCTCTTGGACGGGGAGGTGGGGGAGCGACACAGAGCAGGTGGGGGTCTGGGTCCCGGGCTCTGCGGGGAGAAGTCAGCGGATTAGGAGCCCTGGCTGGTGAGGAGCTGCAGCCCTCGAGTTACACTTGAAGTGAAATGACGCGGTGGGGGGTGTGGGGCTGGCGGCATGTCCTCATCTGTTCATCACAGCCAGGTGTAGCCCAGGGTGGGCTTCCACCGTGGGGTTGAGGAAGGTAGACAGGCCGGCAGGCACCGCTCGTCCCCCCGGGGGCTCCCGGACCCCTGGGCCGGGGGCCGGTGCTGCTGGGCTCTGTTCACACCAGCCCTCCCGACGGTCAGCGCAGGGCCAGCCTCAGAACTGGCCGGTGTCTCGTGTTTTCTGGAAATCCTATGGAAAAGGAAGGCTCTCAGGTCACAAGTATTGCGAAGTTCGTGGATGTTTGATTTCCATCCCGCTGCCGTGGCCGGGAGCACACAGGTCAGACGTGGGACTCTTGTACCCTCTGTCCCCTCTGCTCTTTGTCCCGTGCCCTGCATCCTTGTCCTGCGGTCCCCCGGGAGAGTACCATCCAGAGACTTGAATGGTAGTTCCGTGCGGTTCGGCTCCAAAGCCTGAGCAGCCTGGGAGGTTTCTGAAGCGCTGAGCCGGGTGTCCTTCCCTGGATGTCCTTCCCCGGGTGTCCTCCCCGGCCCTGGCGCCGGAAGAGGCGGGTGAACGTTGTGCTGCTCTTCCCCCTGCCTCTCCCTTTTCTCTTTTTTGGTTGTTTTTCGCTTCTACAAATATAGCAGGGCCTCCTGTGACAGAGAAGGAGGGGTCACCCACGGCCCCGCGGCCCCAGCCTCTGGCGTCCTGACGCTTTCTTCCTTCAGACACACGCACTCTTCCTCTTAAACACAACGACCTGCTCTTTGGAGCTGATTGTAAATCTGCTTCCACGTGTCTTGACGGCAGCTGTGCCGACATGGCTGCCCCGAGTCTCGTTCAGGGCCTGACGTGCCCTCGCTGGCCCTGTTTTGGGTTCTCAGGTTTTGTAACGGAAGCTGAGAGACCCCGGGAGCATACCCTGCACTCCAGTTTCCTTTCTGAGCACAGACTTAGGGGCTCCCCTCCCCCGGCGCGACCCTGCTTTGCTCTTATCTTCCGTCTGAGTAAGTGGAGCGGATGTAAATGGGCTCTGAGGTGCCTCTGTGCCGCGCCCCCTCGCCCCGGGTGTGGTCCTGGGCCTCGGTCGCCGTGGGAGTGGGGTGCCTCCATCCTGGGAGCTCTGAGCTGAGTGGACCCCTGTGTCTGGCAGCACACGGCGGGGTGGCAGGTTTCTGCAGCACAGGGAATGCGCCCCCCGCGCCCCCGTCCATGCCCCACTCCAGACGCTGCTCGTGTGGAGATGCGGGTGCTCACCGATGGGTGTCAGCAGGGGCTTTAAGGCTGGGCAGAGGCTTCCTGA